ATCTTCAGCAACTAGCCTAAGTCCAAATTCAATCCGTTAAGCATCTGCAACACACTCGAGGCTCCCGGGACCTCAACCAAATATACCAATAAGTCTTAAAATACCATACAAACTTAGTCGAGCCCTCAAATCACATCAAACAACGCTAAAAACACGAATCACCCTCCGATTCAAACTTAATGAACTTGAAACTTTAAACTTCTACAACTGATAACGAAACCTATCAAATCAAGTACGATTGACCCCAAATTTTGCACACAAGTCGTATTCAACATTACAGACCCACTCCAATTTTCGGATTCAGAATCCGACCCCAGTATCAAAAAGTCCACTATCGGTCAAAATCTCCAAAAATTTGACTTTCGTCATTTCAAGCCTAAATGAGCTACAGACCTCCAAACCACAATCCGGACACGCCCCTAAGTCCAAAATCACCCAACGGAGCTAACGGAATGGATGAAACTCTATTACGAAGTCGTCTTCATACAGTTCTGACTATGGTCAAAATCCTAACACTTAAGCTTTCGTTTTAGGGACTAAGTGTCCCAAAACACTCCGAAACCAAAAACAAAACCTACCGATAAGTCACATAAGTAGAAAAAGATACGGGGGATACAGTAAATAGGGAAACGGGGCTATTACTCTCAAAATGATCGGTCGGGTTGTTACATCCTCCCCCTCTTAAAATAATCATTTATCCTCGAACGAGCATAGAGACATACCTGAAGTGGTGAAAAGATAAGGATAACGGCTGCGCATATCCTGCTCGGTCTCCCAAGTCGCCTCCTCGACCGGCTGTCCCCTCTATTAAACCTTCACATAAGCAATGTTCTTTGACCTTAGCTTTCTGACCTGCCTGTCTAAAATAGCCACTGGCTCCTCAACATAAGATAGATCCTTGTCCAATTGGACTGAGCTGAAATCCAATACATGAGCCAAATCAACGTGATACTTCCGGAGCATAGAAACGTGGAATACCGGATGAACTCCTGCTAGGTTGGGAGGTAAGGCAAGCTCGTAAGCAACTTCCCCAACTCGCCGCAATACCTCAAAGGTACCAATAAACCTTGGGCTCAGCTTGCCCCTTTTTTCGAATCTCTTAACTCCCTTCATAGGTGAAACCCGGAGCAAGACCTGCTCTCCAATCATGAATGAACATCGCGAACCTTCCGATCCGCATAACTCTTCTGTCCGGACTGGGCTATGCGAAGTTTATCCTGAATCACCTTAGCCTTCTCCAAGGCATCCTGAACCAAGTCTGTACCCAATAATCTAGCCTCGCCAGCTCGAACTATCCTACTGGGGACTGACACCGCCTACCACACAGAGCCTCATACGGTGCCATCTGAATGCTGGACTGATAACTATTATTGTAGGCAAACTCCGCAAGTGGCAAAAACTGGTCCCACACACCCCCAAAATTTATCACACAAGCATAGAGCATATCCTCCAGTATCTGAATAGTGCGCTCGGACTGTCCATCTGCCTGAGGGTGAAATGTTGTGCTCAACTCAACCCGGGTACCCAACTCATGTTGTACAGCTCTCCAGAACCGTGATGTAAACTGAGTACCCTGGTCAGAGATAATAGATACCGGTACGTCATGAAGCCTGACAATCTCACGGATGTAGATTCGAGCTAGCTGCTCGAAAAAATAGGTAGTCATAAACTTGTCACAACCCAATTTCCCCTCCGTATGACGTCGTGACGGCACCTAGTCTCTACGACTAGGTAAGCCTAACATTTGCGGAATAATAAAATAAAAACATAAACTTAACAACTAACCGTAGCAGTAACAACATAACTGGGTACCATACCGCCTGGCATGTACAATAACCAACTATTCAAAATACACAAAAATCCCAAAACCCGGAACATCGTGAATCACAAACTACAAAAGGAAAGTCTAGTGTCTCTATATATCACAGTCTAACAAAGGAAAAATACAGAAGATAATGGACATGGAAAAAAGTAAAAGGGGACTCTAAGGTTTGCGGACGCGTCATATATACCTTGAAGTCTCCAAAGCTGTCCCAGCTCACTGATAGTGTGGCTAATAAGGAGCACCTAGATCTGCATACGAAAAACATGTGCAGAGAGTAGCATGAGTATACCGCAATCGGTACCCAGTAAGTGCCAAGCCNAAGACAACAACTCAGTACATAGAGATAAGAGCAAGGGATCTCCCGAGATACCGTCTTGTAGTCCCAAACGTAAATGTGTAGTACAGGGGGATCTTCCACAATACCGTTCCGTAGTCCCAAAGTAAATATGCAGTACAGGGGGATCTCCCAAAATACCGTTCCGTAGTCCCAAAGTAAATATGCAGTACATGGGGATCTCCCAAAATACCGTTCCATAGTCCCAAAGTAAATATGCAGTATAGGGATTCCCGAAACACCGTTCCATAGTACCAAAGTAAATATGCAGCTCAAACAATAGAATTAAAAAAATAAAATAAATAAATGATTTTTTAATCATTATTATCATATCTACATATTTTATATCTAAGTTATTCTTATATTAATTTTGTAATTCTCACAGAGCAAAATTAATATATAATAGCTGATGAATTGAATATTAGAGTGAAAGTAATTTTTAGTAAGATTATTATTTCAAGTCTGTAATCTTGTTTTCCTCAGTTTTAATTCTCACGGAGAAATTGTTGAAGGCAAGACTATTGATTTTCTAGTAAAAATATTCTCACGAAGTTTTTACTACGCTTGAGCACAATTCATGCAAGATATTTCAGCTTAATCGTGACTAGTTTTAAATTAATTAATTAACATAACCTCACGGAGTGTTAATTTTTTTTTTAGGGTAAAAATATAATTGTATTAGCAATAAACAATTATTCTTTAGAGAAATACGTATAAAACTGTGATTTTATTGTAATGATATATATATATATATATATATATCAAGTGAATTCAATGATTCCCAACTCTTTTTAAATATAAACCTTTCAGAAGAAATTTGTCTTAAAATATAATTTCACACACACCTTTCATCAATTTGATTTTCTCAAATAGTGATCAAAATATTACAAGTCTGAAACTTAGATTCTCCAATCTCTGTGGAACGATATCATAAACTATACTAGAATTTGACAGAGTATGAGCAGAAAATTCTGTACACATTAGCTTCATCAAACGGCTAGTTGTGTAAAAATCCCAAAAAGTAAACTGGAAAAACTGAAATTCAAGACACATTATTAGCTAATTAACAACCATTCTAGGGGCAAGTGCACATATAGCCATTTTCAGGGATGCTATTTAGAGATTAGCCAGTAATTATTTTGTCCTGAATTTTTAAACTAAATTTTTTAACTTCAGGACAATTCAGAATAGTTTTGTCCTGAAAATTTGAAATAAAAAACTAAAATTTAGGATGCACTGGCTAATTCCTAAATAGCAGTCCTTTAGAGTGGCTACCTAATGTCATTTCTACTTAGAGTGACTACCCGGTGTCATTTCTACGAGTTTGCATTTGCTGGTTTGACAGCCTTCTGGACAAAGTTTTATTTGGGCCTAATTGAGCTTTGGTGGCCCATTCACAAATAGTTTTTTGGGGGGATTTTTACCTAGCTATACTATAATAGAAACCTATTTACCACCTTTATTTAGGTTCCTTATTAATTACTTTGTATATCTATATTTACAATATATACAAAACCATAAAAATAAAAATAAAAATCAAGATCCCTTAGTTGACACCTACCCCCATTTTCAATAACCCTCCACCTACCCCCATTTTCAATAACCCTCCCCTACATTTAAGATCCTGTTTCTTTTTTCTCTCTTTCTTAATAATCATCCAAAATCTCTCTTTTATTTTTATAACCCCACCTCCCCCCCAAAATTCCAATTCTTTTCCTTTTCCAAAGATTTTCAAACTACCCAATTTTTCTCTTTCTTACTAATCACCCAAAATCTCTATTTCTTATTGATACAATGCAGACGAAATTCGTAATATTATATTACTCTAGAATCAAGTTATGGGTAAGTTTTGAATCTTGTTTTCTTTCTTTCTAAATTCAATACCCAAAACATTACTCGATACAATACTAATACAATTATATTAGATTTTTAGTATAGAGTTGTTATTGAAACTTGAAGAAGATGAAGATCATAATTGTATCACAATTTTTCAGAAATGTATCACGATTGTATTATAATTGTATATGTATGATAATTGTTGCAGGAATTGTATTACAAATATATGATAATTTTATATTCATTGTATATTGTTACGAGCAGTTGTGAGTTCGTGATGAATTTCACAGTTTGTATCACAAATATATGATAATTGTATATTAATATATTAGTATTGTATAAGATATTATTTTGGGTATTAATGTACCAGATACAAATTAGATACAATTATGATACAAGTATGATACAATTATGTTTTAAGATTGATGTATCTGATACAATTCAAATACAATTATGATACAGTTATCATACAATTATCATACAATTCCTGAATATTTCTTCATTTTCAGTGTTGTCCAGTCTCCCAGCAGAAGAACGATACAATTGATGATTTTTTAATAATACAAAGTTATCAGCAATGGTGGGAAGAAAGAAGATGGAGATTCTTGGCGTAGATTAAGGGATTTTGATGTAAAAAAAAAAAAGGAGAGAGAAGAGGAAAGGGAAAAAGAAAGGAAAGGATGTAATTGAATCTCTTAATTGAATGCACTAATAATTGGGTGAGGGTCTTTTAAGGAGCAATGTATATAATTTGTAAGAAAAATCTAGATACTTATTTAAAATTACAAAACATAGAGAACATAGATAAAAAAAAAATTTCTAATATAGTATAGCTAGGTAAAAATTCCTTTTTCTTTCTTCTAATTTTTTTAAAAAATTAAATTGAGAGATATGAAAGTAAGAAGAGAAGACAGTAAGAATCGAACCCATATTTATATGGAAGATTCATTCTTCTTAATTTTAATCGTGAAAACATGACATAAGAATAAAACACAATAGACCATGTATGATGTAACGAAGAATTTTTCTTAATTGCATTTGTCTACATGTAAGAAGTAAATACAAATCTAGCAATGACCAAATCTTGGAACAAAGGGGTGCAGGGTATTTTATGAGCCAAAAATCATTTACATCCATCTAGTGGAATGTCTCTCAATTGAAAATAAAAATTCTTTGTTCAAAAACATCTTCATGACTTCAACCCTAAAATTTAAACAAGGGAGTTATTTTCTTTAACTTGGCCATTCTTCCCAGCTAGAAGTGGTGCAGTGGTATCTTTATCTTTAACCTGAGATGACAACAAAAACACAATTTTTAGAACAAATAAGGTACAATGATTTATAGCACAAAGTACAACATCTTCAAATCGTTACGAGAAGAGGGAGGGCTAAGTGCACAAACAACCATTCTTAGGGCTGCTAATTAAAAATTAGCCAATACTTATTTGTCCTGAAATTTTGAACTAAAACTTTTAGTGCGTGTTTGGACATAAGAATTGTAAAATTTCAAAAAAAAAAGAAGTGGAAAAAACATTCAAGTGAAAATGATATTTAAAAGTATTTGGATATGAATATAATTTTGGGCTGTTTTTGAATTTTTGTGAGTGATCTGAAGTGCACCTTTGAAAAATAGCTTTTTGGAGTTTTTCAAATTTTCGAAAAATTTCAAAATTTATCTTTAAGTGAAAATCGAAAATTTCATGCCCAAATACTGATTTCGAAAAAAAGAATCACTTTTATGGCCAAACGGGCCCTTAATTTTGAGATAATTCAGGATATTTGTGTGAATTGAAAAATCAAAATTCAGGACACATTGGTTAATTCCTAAATAGCCGCCATTTAGAGTGTCTATCTGGTGTCATTTCTATGAAGAGGAAGAATGGCTTACTTGAGTCATGGAAGAAAGGTCTCCAACTTGTTTCCTTTTGGTTTCATTGACACAAAAATAGGAATACAATCCCATTCCAACAATGGCAACAAGAATTCCGATAATGTTTCTTGAAGTGAAAGGATCATGTAGCAATGTATAGCCAAATGCTAAAACCAAACATGTTTTAAGGTGGCCTAACACTTGATATGTAACTGGTGATGTCTTTCCAATCACTAAAAATGTGCTGAAATTCACTGATACAGCAATCAAACATGACAACAATATAAATCCCTGCATTTGAGAAACACATTGTTAAAATTTTGGTACAAGACAATAGGTGTTAATTTAAGAATACATTGTACACTAAAGGATGTGGTGTAACGGATGGAGTTGCTCTTTTCTTAACCATAGGTATGGGGTTCGAGCTCTGCATATGAAAAAATTCTTGGTAGAGAGCACTTCCACCGAATGGGGCCCTATGCGCCGCAAATCCGGATATAGTCGGATTCCAATGGGGGTACCGGATACCCGATGGGAAACCAAAAAAATTTAAGAATATAATGTAATTAGTGTTTTTTCTTACCACAACAATAGGAGAATATTTGTAGGCGAAAACACTCTGTTTGGTAAGGAATTGATCCACCACTGGCCCTGATACAAATAGAATAGCTGCTTGGAAAGGGGCTGATTGATACAACAATTGAGTTGATGAGATGTTGAGCCTCTTTTGAATTGTGTTGGTCAGCTGAATTTGAGGTTAAGTCAAATTATAAAATTAAATTTTTTTTTTAACTCCTATATATAAAAGCTTTTACATTCTCAAGTCATTTAAAAGATAACTACTAGTAACCAGAGACGAACTCAGGATTTTTACGTGACGGGGGCACAATATTCTGTTCAACCAGTGCCCCCTAAAGGTTTTAAGTGTTTAGGGTGCAAAGTATTTTAAATTAATCATTTTTAAGGTATATACATATACATATACAAGATTTTTGTCGAAGCTTACGGGTTTCCGTGACCAGAGATAGACCTATGCTATACCGAGTGGGGTCACCAGCAACCGTAAAGTTCGGCAAAAATTTTATGTGTACACGTATATCTTTTTAGAAAATAGTGATATATTAGTAGTGGTCACCCTCTGTACAAAGCAGATTTTGGTTGAATCCAAAAGTGTACCCCGACTTTTAGATCCTGAATTCGCCTTAAGTCCGTTTCTGCAAGTAATCGACTAACAAGATAGATAGTTTACTATAACAAGTTAAAATATACTGATAGTGTAAAATTTGTTACGTCGGATAAATCATTAAAAGGATACAATTTGTCCAACGCAAGTTGTAACAATGGCAAGAAGGGAGAGAATTGTTCCAACAAAATTGAGCTGAAGATCAGTAATAGAGGCATAGCCAACTCCGATTAGCAGAACGAACAGAGCAAACTTAATATTTCGGCTGCAAAAGTATGTGTAACAGACAACAATTATTAGTCAACCAACAAGCCTGTACTTTTGTATTTTGTTTTGCGAATTAATTAAACTATAGAATAATAAATTACCTGAACTGCTTTTTCAAGAAAATGGTTTCTAATAGTACGGTAAAAGGTATAATTGCTAGTTTTGTCATCTGCAAACACAATAGAAAAAGCATACAAAGAAATTAGCACCTTATTTGTAAGCTTAGCTCTTCTATCTGCGTGGAGGCGGATTCAAAATTTAGCATTGTTAGTTCAGCTAATACGGGTTAGATTATGACTCACTTTTTAACTTAATTTAATTGAATTCCAAATGACCCATCAATCTATTGGGTCAAAACAGGTCAATAGTCTCCCCAACATATCAAAATGCAATCCAAACTCAAATATAAAAACATTTGGAAATTGAAAATTAAGTAAATTTGGAGGAACTTAAGTTAATAATTAAGAATTTTAATAATTAAGAATTTACATTAGTTTTTACTTTTTTTTTTGGTCAAAATGCAAAATAAAAACAAAAGACCCGTTGAGCAGGTTAAATTATGACTCATTATTTGATCCATCGTGAGCGAATCGAATAGTGGACGAGTTGAGTCATGTGCATATTGATTTGACCTCTTTGACTCGTTCAAATTTGACTCAACTCGCCAATTTACCACCTCTAAGTTGTGTATCACAATGCACACACATTTGGTTTATTATTGCTCACATATAATACCAATTTAAATAGATGTAAGTATAGTTTGACATGAATATTATACCTGGTAGAAGCCAATGGAATTAAAGCCAAGGCTAAGATTGAGAAAGCCAATGGATACACCATTTAAGATGCCAAAGAGCATCACAGTCTTCATATCAATGGGTTTGTTCTCAAAGAAATTGAATTTGAGTGCCACGTGGAGTGTGCAATATGTCACCATTAGATGCCAACTTGTTAATGTTGTGGCTATAATAATAAAAATAAAAATAAACATTACTAATCTTGAAATAAACAACTTAATCTTGAATATCATATTGAAAGTTTGGTAAGTACTATGATAAGATTATACATTTTTTATTGATTAAAATTCTACCAAATGCCAAAAGTGTAAGTGAGAGGAAAATGATATTACCAAAGGGAAAACCAAGATTACTCATCAAAGCTTTGTTGCAAATAACAATGGAAACTGAAGATGCAACTGATAGAAACAGTGCTCCAACCACACCCAACTGAAAGCTTGTCATTTCTCCCATCTTCATCAACCAAAAGAAATACAAAATATTAGAAGAAATAACAACAATAACATACCCATAATTCCACATAGTAGGGTCGGGGAGGTAGTGTGTACGCAAACCTTACCCCCTACCGTGTGGAGGTAGAGAGGTTATTTCCGATAAACCCTCGGCTCAAGGAACACATAACCACAACAATAATGAGAATAAAAACGGTAGCGTAGAAACCATAAAAAAAAAAAAAAGCAGTAACAACATCAAGATAATAAGATGACCGAAACGAAAGAAACAACAAGTAGTAGTCGAAGAAAATCACCTTATAATATTTTTCTATCTTTGATTAATATGGAAGAAATTGGACAATTTAACATACTCTAAAAATATGCCTTAATTATATTACACTTATAAACTATTCTTTTGGGAAAATGTGGATGAATCAAAGATAATCTGACAAAGTCATAATAAAAACAAGAACATGAACTCGCAAAACATTTATAAAAGGTAATAATATTACTGTCCGGCAAAAAGAAAATTTCTGTATCTTAGCACTATGTATTTTTTGCATGTTTGACGATTTCAACTTAACCTTTACTATGACTAAATATCTTTGACATTGAAGACAAGGGCGGAGCCAGCCTTATAGTCATGGGTTCTAGAACTCAATAACTTTGGTTCAAACCTTGTATTTATGTTAAAAAAAAGTTCATTGAATATATATAAATAGTCTATTTAGAACCCAATAAGTAAAAAGAATTATGGTCGAGAGCTCGTAAACTAAAAATCCTAGCTCTCCGAAGAGCCAAACGCAAAACTGGCCGGACATGCCCTCTTTTTTTGGCTTAAGCAAATGTTCGTGCTGATCTTTAACTTTACAAGTTGCCAGCTTCTGTCTTAACGAACATAATGCGCACACCATCAAGATTAACAAAATAAAAAGATTAAAACGAGATCAAGGAATTAAGACATTGCAGATATATATGTACCTCTTCAAATAATGATGGTGATTTTACAAATAAAGTTGTGCTCCTACAAGTACTCCACAAATGAAATTTTAAGAACTTGGAGAGATGATTAATGTAAGTTTTTCTTTTGTTGGGTGTGGGGTTTTTTGAAGAGGGGAGGGAGAGTTTTGTGGCTTGAATGAGAATGTAGAAGAAAAAATGCAAGCTTTTATTTACAACTTATGTGGTGTGTGTGGTTGGTGCTAACGTCGTTAATTTTAGCTGTGGTTGGTCTTCAAGGCTTAACGGTTGATGAACATCTTTAAACATATTATGGTGTTCGGGTAGCTTGCGCGTATCTCGACTAATTTATCAGTAACTACTATCTTTTACCAACACAGGTATCAGGTAGCTTTGTCGATCCACCGAAGCTTAAAGAGATGGGAAGAAATAACTTAGTATTTTTTTTGGTCTCCACTAGCATTTTAGATAGATTTTTACTCAATTAATATAATTTGCATGTCTTATTAATTAGAAGAAGATGACTAATTCTACTTATTAATTAAAATTTAATAATATAAAAGTTATCGTACTGACAATGTATAGAAGTTGAACCATTTCTAAAGTCGAAGCTAAACGGCTAGTATAAGCAAAGCTATTTGACTGACTTTAGGTTAACAAATATTTTTACTGAGCTAACGCCCAAAGATATTGGACTAATCATTCACACAACAAAGCAAGAAATAATGTTTTTTTTAAAAAATAAAACATGCATTTATTTGCTTTTTTATTTTCTTTTTTATTTTTCTAATTCTGATATTTGAGCTAATACATGTACTTACTTTTACTAAACCTCTACATAGATCTCCTAACAAGAAACATAATAATTGACATGACAACGGGCGTGGTTTTATTGTATGTTTCATTTAAACCTAATCACGAATCAAATATGGAGTTTAATTAGTCGAATATTAAACAATAATGTAATAATCTCGAATCCTTAATGATTTTTCCTTTCTTAATTACACTGAGAGAGTGAGCTTTTGATAATATTTTAAAGAATTGTTGGCTCACCTAATTTGGAGATAAATAAACTAGTCTTAATACAGAAGCCAGAAAGGTGAAGTGAACATTTCATTATGTGACAATGTACCTGCCAATACTAGCAAAAACCGTTGGCAAATGTGTTTGGTGAGAATATAAGACTTCAATTTTACTCAAATATGACGAATCTCAACATGCCTTCTATATTAAATGGAAAATAATTTGTAAAAGCCCTATAATAATAAGATTATTGATAAGTTCATTTTATTTGTATTTTGTACTTCCTACAAATGACAATTCTATTTCTTGAGAAATAAGGGATCAATATATTTTGAAGGTTTCACTCTATGTGTGTGTGTGTGTGTGTGTAAAGGTTGATGTATTGAAAAGGGCCATAATAATCAATTTCATAATAATTTTAGTCATGCCTTCTAGCTTCTGGAATTATTATAAGTTGTCTTGTGAATGTCAATCCCTTTAATTGAAGAGTATTTATTACTTTTAACCATTTCTTCAATCGCGCATATATATGTGTTGATTATGAGATGATTTATGTTGAATACATGGTTTAGTATAGAAAAGACGCAAATTTGTACAGTTAGTTATGTTAATATTAAAAGTATCTATTAAGCGTTGGATCTTAAATGAATAACTTTCTATGTGAAAAATCTAAATTTGCATTTGGTTACATTATACGGATCATCGAAAATGTTTTCATGAGAAAACTTTGACCGATGCACATATATATTAAACCTACGGGTTATAATTCCCCTTGATTTCTTCGCATGCTTACTTATTTATATTTTGGACTCCCCTTAGTGAAAATTCTAACTCTGTCACTCCTTATAAGCTTGTTTCCGCGATTCTTTTTTAGAGACAAAAAAGGAGAAAGAGTCTGAAGGAGAGAGATATGAATGCATATAGTGTTTTAATTTTATAAACCTTTCTACTTTTGCTCCGTGATGTCTGACTTCTCATGTCTTCTCGCGCTGAATTAATAGAGAGGGTGATGAAATTTAGAATTATAGAAGAAAATGAGAGGATCTAGTGGACTTATATAGTTACCATATTTTTTTGAATTTTAGTAATTAGGAGTGTTTTTTGGCAAAGATTTGATTTTGAGAGAGATGGAAAGTGTTCGAATTTAAGGGAGGAAAAAGGAAATAATAAGAAGAATAAACTTCTGAAGAATACCCCCTAAGAAGCCTTTTTGTGACTTTTTAGATGAGAAACAAAGTGAACTTGACAAATAAGGCGGAAGTATATTAGTAGAGAGAGCTCGAATTTTTAAATTTATTGTCTTGCGATATACGAACACATGCCAAAACTCAGCCTATATAACTAGAATATTCGGTGGATGATAATGAATTAATTTTGCACTAGTTGAGGGCAGCTGAACGAAAGGAAAGCAGGTAGGCCGCTTGGGTGAGACAAAGTGAAATGCATATCAATATCTTTTGCAAGTTGATCAAGCAGTTGCTACTATTTCACTGGGGAGAAAAACTAAATATCACATGAAGGACAGAGCTCTAAGGGCATTGTTGTCACTTGCTAGGAAATTTCTTTAGACATATTTTAGCCTCGGCTAAAGCAAGTAAAATATTTAAATCTATTGATCATTTTGACTTTGATTCTGTTTGGCTAGGCAGTTTAGTGGGATAAAGTAATTGATGCTTCGTTCGCCTCAGAGAATCAAAGTCACTATATATATAAAATATTACATTTGATAGATATTTAATTTTTAATATTTTATAAAATAATATAATTACAATAAATATTTATAAATAGGTAAAATTGTAAAAAATTGAAAAAAACTATATATATATATATATATATATATATATGTGTGTGTGTGCTTCATCCCCACAAAAAACTAGTCAAAACAATCTATTATACGGTGCACAAGTAACTTGAGTCGAAATAATTTCACATTACATTGGCACGTTCTCTTCACCAAAAAACAAAATTAAAAAGATACACACCTCCGTAGGGACATCACTAAAACATTTTCTAGAATTCATGGGATCTTCACAGTATCTTTGATAGTAAATTCTCATTCCAGTATGACCTAATTATCTTTAATTTTCATTCACGTTAGATCAATCCCCATTCTCTAAATTGAAATTTTGGAAAATACAATCTGTTTTCAGCTATGTTTGCCTGCACTTCTAAATGGCCATATTGGAAAGAAAGAGTGCACATTATCCATCAGACTACAAATCTTGGGTATCATCTATGCAAAAGAAACCTTCCAATATCTAATGGTTTAGCGTGTTCACTAGCTACATAGAATTTCACTACTCTAATATTGAAAGAAAAGATAATACTAAAAAGAACAGATACTGAGAAAAAGAATAGGCAAACCCCTAGAAATGGAAAAAAAAAAGGAGAAAGAAGCAATGTACAGAACATCCGGAGGCATGTTATACTCGAGTTTTTTCGTGCTGGGCAAAGTACGCTTTATCTGCATTAGCTAACCGGTCTTGGAACATAGCCCACTCATTTCTACATCTCTCTCTTACCTAGAAAAGAAAAAGCCATTCACTTTTAGCCACTAGCACCTGAGACAAATGCTTATCATATTTCAAACAAAATTGGAGGCAAGGAATGGATATGCTTACCCCTTCCCAGGGAGCTTTGCCATTCTCGGGCTGACCCTGTGATCCCCAGAAAAACAGGAACAGTGTTAAACGAAGCAGGTAAAACGAATAATCAATGCAATAGACAAACTACCAATCTGTGTTCCAGTAAGTTGTAACTGCATAAATTTCTGGAAATTTTAATACACTAACCTGATTCCCCAGAGAAGGAATAACTTGATGCACAATCCACTGTGAATCGACCACACCAATTTTTTCATGAGCAGGCTGCACAAACCAAGAGATTAACAATAAGATTATACCAAAGGGTCCATATTGAATTAGAAAAAAAAATCCTAAAAGAGTGAAGAGTATTATTATTTTCCATGTCTCGGTGATATCTATGTTCTCTGGGTGCAGCATTCTTTCTTTTATGATTTTACCATGGGGTGTAGTCTTCTGCCACCATTCTTGCATAAGAATGTATCAAGGAGAACTACTAACCTCTACGCATCTTCTTAGTGCAAAATCCAATCCCCATCCATGCACCAAATCATTCTATAACCAAACATCAAACCAAAGTACATGCATTAGTGTAATAGTATAGGCAATTGAAGAGTTCACTCGCGACCAGAGCAAATATGTACTTGAATATATTGCATCACACAGAAATGGACATTGTGACGAGATGCAAGTGATACCAAGTGTAAGAACTACCTGAATCAAATGCCAAACACATCGCCAAGCTTCTCGAGAGAATACAGGAGCCATTATTTCCACAAAACTGTATTAAAAAGACGGAACAAGACAATAAATATAAGTTTCAGGCTAATGATAAAGGCATCGGATTATTCTATTGCTGACACTTGTTTGTTGACGAGTCTTGGTAGGACTACGACATAAAATCCAGATACAAACCTAAATGTACTAGCGGATTAAATAACCAACACAAGACTAGATAGGTCAGTCAGCACTAATAGATCTATTCTTGCTTGATGAAGCACAAAGTTGCAATGGGATATCATCGCCATCAGGAGATAACATATCTTAACCATGCTGAATTGCTCAGTAGTGCTTTTCCACAATCCTAGCTGGCAGAAACAACTTAATGGTAGAGCATAGACTTGTCAAGACTGAGGTTGAGGATTCAAGTCCCTCCTTTCGCTCCTGGCTTCCTCTATGGTCAAATAAGTCATTGTGATCCAGGCAATTAAATTTGTAGGTTCACTCTAGTTGAAGGTGCATTAAATGAGTTCCACTTTGATGATGTTGCTAAGAAAAGTTGGAGCAAAAAGAAGCTCAGAGATACGTGCTAAGTAATACGAATGATGAAAGTATAAAAAAACACACGTTGTCACGTCTCTTTTAGTCTTAAGTTACGTACTATCTCAAAAGAAAGGATCATATAGGTTTAATCTGAGTTTAATCATGGTGAGTAAGCTCTAATTTTCATCAACATTGCTGAACATATGATTTATTTTAGTATGTGCATGTTTACACAAAATAGATTGTATGCAAAGGAAACAAGAATTTAATGTAATTGAGAGGATTCGTTACTCCAAACAAGGGAAGCCAAGCTAATACTTCTTTTTTTTTTGATAACCGTGGTGTCCGGGCCAGCTTGCACGCAACTCGACTAATTCCACGGGATACCTGCCACCTCCCACCAGCAGCAGGTACCAGGCAACTCTATCCACCAATGCTTGGATAGATGAGAAGCAATCACCTAGTATTTTTTGCCTCCGCTGGGATCTGAACTTGAGAACCTCATGGTTCTCACCCACTTCATTGGCCACTAGGCCACACCCTTGGGTGCCCAAGCTAATACTTCTATGTGCACACAAATAAGGGGTAGATTGGTGCAATTGTACCCAGCTGTTTGCATATGTTAGAGAGAGAGAGAGAGAGAGAGAGAGAGAGAGAGAGAGAGAGAGAGAGAGAGAGAGAGAGAG